CACAGCTCCTGAGGTCAATACCATCATCATCTCATGCCACACTCAGAGACTTCAGGTCCAGGAGCTCTACCAATTTATGCAAAGTCACATGTCTTACGAGCAGAGGCAGGTTATGAACCCAGGTCCTTCTGGTGTAAGGTCTAGTCATGTAACCCTGACACTCTTCCATTAGCAAAGTTAATCCACAGTTAATGAGGCTAAGAAGCTTTCCAAATCCATACATCCATTTCAGCCACCCTGAAAATATTTCCCTGGACATGGGTAGAGGAGCAGAATTTTCATCACCCATCTCATAGAAGAGTCAACTGAGGTGGTGGCACCTGCCTGGGAAGTGGCAGAAACTGAACCACATCACCACTGCCTTCTATACTCATTCTCATGGACTCCCTGGGAGCATCCACAACAAGCCATCACTTTGTTTGCCCACCTGAGTCCTGCCAGAATGTATCCTTGAGGCCAGGATACTTCAACAGAGAAAAGGAGTTACAGATGATGCAGCAAGCTGTGGCCATGAGAACACTGGACATGATGTCTCTCTTGTCTGAGCTGGGTGGAACATCCAGCAAAAGACCACGCAAACTTGCCTCTCAGAGCATGTGTCGGTGGGTGGGGGAACATACAGTTCTCCTGAGGACTCTTTAAACAACCAGTACACCTTTGTTTTGTCCATGCAGTTCTACCTGCCTGAAATGCCATGCCCTCATATGCCCAAGTCCACCTGCTGGATGGAGGCCTGCTTCCCTTGCAAAGTTTACTTTAGGTGTCATCCCCAGGCCTCCCTATCCACTGCATAAAGAAGAGGATAAAATCACAGGCTGTGATGGTCAACATACTGGTTGTTAGTCTCTAGTGAGCTCTAGCGATCTGGGACAGGTAACTGAACCTCTGTGAGACTCGAGTTGTTCTTGTGGAAAACAGTGATGATAATAGAACCTAACTATAAGAAGTTGGGTATTAAATGAGGTGACATGAGGGTACTTCAAAAAGTTTTTGGAAAAATGGAATTAACACATAGTACGATCTTTCCATGAACTTTAAAAAGTACCTCCTCGTACATAATGCCTGCCTACCAACCCACAGCAAGGAAGCAGTGAAGGTCACCTATTATGATTATTTGGTAATTATTTGTTTTCTCTTTGCTCCCACAACATCCTGGAAAACTCGACCCAAGAAAGCTTTTAAAATATTGCCAGATTCCCTACACGAATATGCCAGAACCCAGGCAAGTGTGGAAAGAGCCACTTTAGCTTGAACAGCTATGAAGGGCCTCTCCAAATAGGTGACATCTGAGAAGAGACCAGAAAGATGAGAGAAGCACTGCAGATATAGGGGCAGTGTCCCAGGCAAAGCGAAGTGCAAGGACAAAGGCTGGGATTGGAAGGGAATTGTCATGGTCAGGTTGGCGTGTCTGAAGAGTAATGAACAAGGGAAAAAGAGAAAACCCAAGGTCCAAAGTGATCGGCCAAGATGGATCAGGTGGGACTTGCAGGCCTTAGCGTGAGGTTGGATTTATTTCAAACGTGACGGGAGCCCTGAGAAGGAAGCATCATTTATTTTTCAACCATTGACTGAGCACCGACACTGTTGTAGGGCTGCAGATAAATGAGAAGCCAAGGCCACTTCTCATAAATGAATGGACACGACAACAAGAAAATCCAGAGGGTTTCTTGGCTTCCAAATTACCCAGGAGGCGTCTCCGAACTAGGTGTAGGGCTGCAGATAAATGAGAAGCCAAGGCCACTTCTCATAAATGAATGGACACGACAACGAGAAAATCCAGAGGGTTTCTTGGCTTCCAAACTACCCAGGAGGCGTCTCCGAACTAGGAGAGAAGCAGCAAGGCCAAAAATCTCGTCCACTCACCTGCGCCAACTCCATCAACGCCGCCGTCATGCTGGGATCCTGTGGACAGAGCAGGGACCAGGGATCCCGCACGCTCAGCCGGTCCCCGGCCCCCACCCCTTCCCTGCCCTGGGCGGGGGTGACCTTGGCTGACTGTCGTACTCCGAGCCTCAGTTTCCCCCGTGTAACATGCGCCCAAAGCCCAGAGCGCCAAGTCGGGGCTGCGGAGACGGAGAGCTAACGCGGAGAGGAGGAGCGGGTGTGCCAGGGCTACAAAGACCCGGAGGGGGACGTATCCTCCCCGCTGCCCTTCCCGCTCGGACCTGGGGAACGCGCCCCGCCCAACGCTCCAGGCCCCACAGTCTGTCAGGACCTTCCCGGCCCAGAGAGATGACGTCACCGCGCGAGAGCCCCAAATCCCGCCTCCCCCGCCGAGAGCCGCAGGAGGCGCCTCTGTCCTGGGCCGTCATTGGCCCAGAGTTCCCGGCCGACGCACGGGCAATGCCTTCTGGGTAATGCAGTTTTCCCCCTACATCCACCAGGGTGTGGGGAGTCTCTGCTACCCTTGTCTTCCTCCGTGTGAGTGCCCAAAAGGACCCGAGCGCCGCCTCAGGACTGCCTTTTTACAGTCGGCACAACCCGGGGGCACCAAACTGTCTGTTCTACGTCCCGGCATATTTAGGCTCAGGAGCCGGGGACACTTGCCCGAGGTTAGGGCAGGTGCAAAGGCGCTTAGCCTGGCCCTCCGCGGGTCCGTGGCTTCCGCTCAACCCATCTCTTTTGAGGATCCTCATGTAGGGCATATGGATAAATGAGCAGTTAACTGCCGAAAGGAGGACGCCGTTAAGTTCTGCCCCGAAACGTTGCAAACGGACAAATCGCCTCTCCTGCCAAGGTCTTCTTTGGCCCAGCGCTACCTTCGCAGGATGCACGGACTTCTGAGTCACATAGCTGGCCACGAGGACGCTAAGCGTGGATTTACCAACACTGAGGTTGGGGCGGTGAGAGTAGCGGTGGCTTGGAGGAGACTGAAAGACAAGTCAGACTGGGAGAAAATATTTTCAAAATATACCTCTAATAGATAATATGTCTATATATCTTTCTTTATATCCGTATCTATGCCTCCCAAACTCAATAAGAAAATAACCCAATTTTAAAAATGGACAAAATATATGAATAGATACTCCCGGGGCCTTGGTGTTATCAGCACCGCACTCTACCGAGTGAGCCACGGGCTGGCCCAGAAAATAACCCAATTTTAAAAATGGACAAAATATATGAACAGATACATCACCAAAGAAGATGAAAATTATACGGATGGTAAATAAGCACATGAACAGATGCTCATCATCAGTAGTCATTAGGGAAATGCAAACTAAAGCTGCAGTGAGATACTACTAAACATCGGTGAGATTGGCTAGAATTGTTAAGACTGTGTTGGTGCCAACGTGGAGCAGCTGAAACTCTCATACAATGCTGGTGGGAATGTAAAATGCTCCAATCACTTTGATGACAATGTAGTGTCTGCTGCGGGTTTCCAGAGGTTCCCTTTGTTCATGGACAATGTTGACTTTCCACATGGTAGCTGAGATAGATTCGTCCAGACAGCCTCCAAATCAGAACCTTGGAACTGCTCCCCTCATGCCACTCTGATTTGTGCAGAGATAAGGCCTCATTGTTTAAGCCTTTAATCTGTTTTGTTCTTTGTGCAGGGTTGATTGAGAAAATAATTGTGCTGTGCCAGGAGGGACCTTAAACTTTATGTGCCCCAGAGAGGATGGCAGGATGGCAGAGAACAGCTCTCAGCCTAGTTTGGTTTATTTTGCAACGTTGATCAATCTCTTTTAGGAAAAACTACGGGGGGTTGAGGGACTGACCTTGTGACTTGGATTTTAGGATCTCCTATGAGCCCTAAGCCCACCCTGATGAAGGGGTAGTTGGTGAGATAACCTCTAGTGCTTCTGGGAACAGCATGAGGTGAGTCACCTTTTGCCAGTGGATGTGTCACATTCTCCCAGCGCTGTGAGGGTAGCTGTCTCCTAGTATCTAGTCAGAAGTCACGGACTTTGAAGTGCAAAATCTAGTAGTATTAAAAGACCTACAGGGGCTAAGTAGGAAAAGTAATAGATAAGAAACACTGGAGAAACATTAAATAGTAGGGAGTGGTGGGGACTGTGGCAGACAAGGTTATATGTCTTCTCTAAAGGGACATACACAAATTTCATGTGACTGTGAGATTAGGGTGTATAGAAATTCTCAGGACCTATAGACCTTTTTTATCTCTTGTGGCTGAAGTCAGTGTGAGAGCAAATATCTGGAAGATTTCTGGTTTCCTATACCTCCCTAGGCTGTTAATTTTTTGGCCATCACTTCACAGGCAGTAACCCCAGGACAGAAGAGAGATCTTATAGTCCATGGATGGGTCTTTTGTGACCCAGCCAGCATTTGGGTAGGCATGGCCTTTATTGCTTTCCAGCTTTTGCTGCCACTGAAGAAGAGCTGACTCAAGATATGGGAATAGGGAGATGTTTGAATCAATATAGGGTTAATTGATCCAGATTTTTATGTGGAAACCTTTTTTCTTAACAGCTTTCTTGATGTACATTTGGCACATAATAAATTGCACATAATGAAATTACACAATTTGCTAAATTTGGACATGTGTACACCTGTGATATCACCATGATTAAAGTAACAAACATGTCATTGCTCCCAAAAGTTTCCTCAAGCCCCTTAATAATCACTCCCTCTCCAATCCTTTAACCCCATCTAACCACTGATTTGTTTTATACCACTATACCTGATATTTTCAGCCTCCTTAATTTTTGTCAGATGGTTACAAAAGGCATGTTACTGTGGTCTCGATTTGCTTTTGCCTTGTTATCAAGAAAGTTAAGCACCTCTTTTTAAAAATAGACTATTTTAGAGCCGTTTTAGGTTCACAGAAGAATTGAGCAGAAAGTAGAGTTCCCATATACATAGGCTCCTTCACTATCAACATCCTACACCAGACAAATACATCCTATACCAGATGTATTTGTTACAACTGATGAACCTACACTGACACACCATTATTATCCAGTCCACAGTTTTCATTAAGATTTGCACTCAGTGGGCCAGCCCGTGGCTCACTCGGGAGAGTGCGGTGCTGATAACACCAAGGCTATGGGTTCGGATCCCATATAGGGATGGCCGGTTCGCTCATTGGCTGAGCGTGGTGCTGACAACACCAAGCCAAGGTTAAGATCTCCTTACTGGTCATCTTTTAAAAAAAAAACAAGGTTAAGATCTCCTTACTGGTCATCTTTTAAAAAAAAAAAAATTTGCACGCGGTGGACATTCTGTGGGTTTGGACAAGTGTATAATGTTATGTATTCACCTAGCATCATACAGAGTAGTTTCACTGCTGTACAAATTCTCTGTTGAACACCTCTTTGTATTGATTGGCCATATCTATACCTTCTTTTGCGAAATGTCAGTTTGTCACTTTTCTGCCCTGTTTTCTTGTTAAGTCATATGTTCTTTTTAGATATTTTATATTTTTCTGATACTAATCTTTTATCAAATATATGTGCTGAAAATATTCTTTTGGTTTTTATCTTGTCTTTTCACTCTCTTCGAGGTTTCTTTTATTGAATATAATTTATTTCATTTAATCAAATTGTTTAATCTCTTCTTTGTTATTAATGTTTTTGTGTCCTGTTTAGGAAATCTTTTCCTACCTTAAGGGAACATGATAGTCATTTTTTAATTTTCAACTAAAAGTTTTTAAATTAGGTTCAGACTTTTGTCTTAATCTGTAGTAGATTTTTTGTGTGATGAAAGGTAGAAATGCAATTTCATTTTCTTTCATGTGGGAAACCAATGTTTCTAGCTCCATTGTCTAAACTGTTCCTTCTTTGACAACTGACCTGTGATGCCACCTCTACTGTATATCGAAGTTCCATATATGCATAAGTCCACTTCTGAGCTCTGTATTCTTCTTTCTTTGCCAATTTGTCTTACTTTTATGTCAACATTGCACTGCTTTAATGTGTATAATTTCACCATAATTCTAATATTTTGTTAAACAAGTCCTCCCTCCTCATTGATTTTCAGGGATATTCTTGGCTCTCTGCTCTTTTATGTAAATTTTAGAATCAGCCTGTCAATTCCCATGAACTTTCCTGTTGAGATTTTATTTGGATTTGTACTGAATATATACATCAATTTGGGGGAATAATTGACAAATTTGTATTATTAATTTCTCCATTCATATAGATCATTACTGTCTTTAAATAAACTTTTACAGCCTTATCTCTCAAGATATGGTCTGTTCCTTCATTTTCTCAACTATCTGTTCCTCAGGCACAGTGGACTCAACATGTCCATCCAGATGCTGCTCAATCTCTGCCTGTCCAGGAAATAGAAATGTACATACTAATTGTCACCCAAGTCAGATTCCTGGGAATAAGCATCCCCCCTGCCTCCACCTGTCTTCCCCTCTGTGTCTTTACCATCCTCTTGTTACCTGAAGTTAGCTTGGCATCCAGGATTCCCTCAAGGTTCTATGCCTTTGTATGTTCTGTCTCCTTCAGCTGCAATGCCCCTCTCACTTGTACTATCTGGCAATTCCTACATTAGTTCCATTAGGATTCAGCTTATGGGGCACCTCCTCCAGGAAGCGTCCCCTGACCTCTTTTGCTCTCCCATGTGAACTGGGTTAAGTGCCTGTCCCTGTGCTCTTGTAGAACCATAGAATATATATTAGAACGTATCACCTACTTGCAGTGCAGTCTTTATTCTATTCATACCCCCTACTCTAGACAGTAAGGTGGGGTCTCCACTTCAGGGCATCTTTCCCTGCTGCAGCCTTTGCTCCAGGATTTTTTTTTTTTTTTTTAAAGATGACCGGTAAGGGGATCTTAACCCTTGACTTGGTGTTGTCAGCACCACGCTCACCCAGTGAGCTAACCGGCCATCCCTATACAATTCCGAACCCATGGCCTTGGTGTTATCAGCACCACACTCTCCCAAGTGAGCCACAGGCCGGCCCCTGTTCCAGGATTTTTATTTAAAGCTATCGAGAGTCCAAAAATGGGGAAAGAATAAAATTGTAAACTTGGGTTTGAGAGATGTGAAAACACAGTAGGCATCAAAGGCACTGTTCTTATCCCCATTTTTCTACTGAAGTGGTAATTTTATTTCCTCTAT